ATATATATAGAAACACACATTGCTTTTTATTTAAGAGTATCCCCATCCTTTTTTCCCAGAGGGTGTGGATATGGATGTTGTATATGATAAAAGACTGGGGATACTCTTAATCAATTGTTGTTTTTAATCTTATTTTTATTTAATATTTTAAATATTTTATTTTAATTTAGATGGATAAAGCAACTCGAATAATACCAGAACGAGGTTCATTATTTACAAGTAAATATGCAAAATGTACTGGACATGGATTACCTATTTTTACAACTGAACGTGCATTAGAACGGATACATCAGGTTAGATTATTCAATTATTTTAATTTAATCAGATTGTAATGATTAAATAATCATTTGCATTTTTATACAGACTTATTTTCTAATTTATATTTAAAGATTTCACTTGGAAAATCATAAGCAAAATTTTGAGAGAATTAATGGGACAAATACACTTATCGACCCCCCCCCCTCCCCTTCATATCTTGACGTAATTTGACAAATTAGCCCCTGGGAAGTTCATTAAAAGTATTCCCAAGGATCCTAGGCCACTAGTTTAAGAGATAACGTGTATTTGTCCCGCTTGGTACAAGCCTCACAGAGCATATCAATAGCTGAGGGTGAAGGCAAAATCTTGATACAGCCGTCAAAGGGCACCTCAATTGCTGAGGGTGCCACGAAATCTTGATCCACAATTAAGGGTATGGGTGTGGGCGTGTTGGTGCGATGCTTCCCTAACACGCACCCACACCCACATCCACACACATCCCAATAGCTGAAGGTGCTATGAGACAATATTTCGTGGCACCCTCAGCTATTGAGATGCCCTTTGATGGTTGTATCAAGATTTTGCCTTCACCCTCAGCTATTGATATGTTCTGTAAGGCTTGTATCAAGCGGGACAAGTACACGTTATCTCTTAAGCTATTGTTCTAGGATCCTTGGAAATACTTTTGGTGAACTTTCTAGGGGCTAATTAGTCGGATTATGTCAATACAAGAGGATGGGGGGGGGGGGGGGTCGATAAGTGTGTTTGTCCCAATATTGTCATGCACTACCTTCTAAATGATCTTGATCAAATTTCCGTATTTAGAAAACAAGTTGAAATGATGAATTTCGCTCAATATTTCCCAAATGATAATATACATAAATCGAATTTTCTCTCACGTTTTCGTATTATGCCACATGAGTTCAACTGTCGAAGCAACCAATCGATCATGGTTTCTATGTGTTAATAATGAGGTTGAGCGTATTCTATCGAACAAAAGAATTCGAACAGATAGTTGATGATGCTTTCTTGGATTTGTACGTTATCTGACGAATTTTTGCTTTGAAAGCTTTAAGTCAAATTGTATAACATTGTCTTTCAGTTAACAATCGAATGTTTTAGAGGAAGTAGTCACTCAATTTTTAGACCGATCTCATATTTTATCTTGAATAGCATTGATCATCGAACCAGATGGACGAATGTCATATGAAGTAATTATTTGAGGTAAACTGGAAGCAATATTTTGTTCTATGATCATACAAAACTGCATAACTATATTCATGAGTAATCACAATGTTACTCCATTCCAATATTGATATAATGACAGAACGAGCACTACAAGTGTACAAATTTGTTTATTTCTCATTTAAAGATTTTGTAGCATTATACATCGTAAGATGTTATTCATTTTGACGAAGTAGTCGATCGTTTTCTAGCATTTACTATCAATCCTCGCTTTCGAAAACTATTGCTATGGTGTTCGACTGATTTAGTTGAAAATTCATCGTTCGATTATTAATTATAATATGTTTTGTAAAATGCTTGTTGTTCGATCACTAGATGATGCAATTCCATGATTTACTCTTCTTTTCTTCATTGCTTTATGTTTTCAGAAAGAAATATTTACTAATGTATCTTTAAAATAATTTTTACCCAAGACTTTAATGAAATCAGTGTATAAGAAGATTATTGTTATTTGTTTATTCTATCAAATATGCACAATATGTACAAAAAAGGAAAAAAACGATTGGTCATATAGATTTAAAAGCTATATGATCCTCATCATCGGTTACTTGGTGTTGCTTCAGACTGTTAAAATATGGCTTCATCAAATAACATACTTGGAACTCTTAGGACGTACCATAAATGACGACGCATATTGGCGTTCAGGATTTTTACGGCGTAGCGCATACATGACATTTGCATAGTGAAGTTCAGGACTATCTTCCCGATTGACTAGGTAAAGAAGCTTATCATTTTCAATGAGAGAGTTCGTTGATTCGTAGTGAAGCTTATTTCGAACTCTAGATTGTGGTATAGATATGGCATTGGGTGGGGTGTGGGTGGGTGTGGGTGTGGGTGTGAGTGGGTGTGGGTGTGGGTGGGTGTGGGTGTGGGTGGGTGTGGGTCAGGGCTCCGGATGGGATGGGATGGGACGAAAAAATCGTCCCATGGTACGAGTTGATTCGTCCCATCCCACCCCGTGGGATATCTAAATTCTTTTTTCCATCCCATCCCATCCCATGGGAACCCATGGGACAGACATCTACTGAAAAAATATTAAAATTTATTGAACCAATCACCATGGTAGTTATATTGAGTCCTTTGATATTCTTCCTAACTATTTCTATATCGCCACTTTATTTCACATTCAATTTCTCTACTATTTATATTAATTCACATGATTCTTTTCGAAAAAGATACTGCGCAATTGATCAACGCTAATGAATAAGGTAATCAACTCATCGAAATTTGTTAAGATAGATTTCAATTCGTCAGGCTCTGCTCGAGTCCAGAATTGACGTTTCTTTTTTGGAACATTGCAGCACAATGTTTCGAATCATTAACCAGTACTAACGATCCTTCTCTCGGGCATTGGAAACTTGATGTCTCATATTCTGATGATTTTCGTTAGATTTCTGAGATTTTTTAAGGCGGTTAAAGATTATTACATATTGTTGCACTATTCAAGGGATTTCTTCAAATGTTCACGGATTTCAATAAAATATAAAATAGTTTTAATCCAACAGATTTGATTTAGATTTGCTATCCACTAATTAGTTTTTTCTTAACCATGAGCTTCCAAGAGTTGTATCGAAAATTGATTTGAAGTATAAGTTAATTAAAACATG